TAGTCCAGGTTTGAAGAGTCTAGGTGTTGTGGTTTTGGAACATGACCAGGTCTAGTGTGGTCCAGATGCACAAAAATGATAAAAAGCAAATTTTGCTGAAGTTTCACAAATCAGAAAAAGCTTTCACAAATCCCAAACTAAGTTTTAATTATTCTGCTATTGGTGAAGAACAATCTAGTCCAGGTTTGAAGAGTCTAGGTATTTTACTTTTTAAACTAGAGCAGATTAAATATGCTGAAGGTAGTGAAAAATTAGTTGTAATCGCCCTTTAGTCATTTCCCGAATCGGAAGCTGGAATCGGAAGCTAACTTTTCAGCTTCGTGAGGTACACTGTGTCAAAAGACCTGACAGAAATTAAACAAGCTAAACGAATCAATAACTGACTGTCAATATACAGAAAAATGTTAGCAATAATTTTAGCTGTACAGTCAATAACTGTGTAAACTGTAAACTGTCAATATTGTGGAATAACAGTACATGAACAGAACATGTAATATTAATATGTAAAAGATATGAAAGACAGAATAGACATGAAGGAGGAATTCAGAATGATTAAAGAAACATTTAATATAACTTACTACGGAAATATTCAGGAAGCTAAGCATTCACATTTGAATTAGATTCTTCAAGAAAACAAAGTTAATTAAGAGAATATGATTGTAGAAACATTTTTTTATTAAGTATGGAAAAGAATTAAACAAAAGATAAGAGTCAGAAAATATAAAAAAATTATTTTAAGTACCAGTCAATACCAGTCAATACAAACAGTACAGTAAACATTAAGCATTCGGACCCACACTCCATTGTTTGCTAACTGCCAATAAAATATACGAAGAAGAAGACATCAGTGTAGTGCCTCTCAGGATGGAGTTCCGTTTCTAAGCTGTTGCATAGCTTTTTTTCCCTCACTGTGGTCATCTTTTATCAGACAAATCCCGGCGGGGTTAAACAGCAGCGGATTTGTCCCACTGCAAAGAAGAGGGTAATTTCATGGATGGATGGATAGGCCCAAATACATTTATTAAATACAATAATTATTGTATATCTGGCAACGCCGATGTGGATGTTCTTGCCACCCAGTGGCACAGAATGACTACCTCAGCATTTTTGTTACTATGTCTGAACAGAGAAAAATATCTGTTTAATATTACTACAACATATGATGTGCTTTGGTGTGTAGGACCAGCAAGCTGAGCTGTTTCCATCCAAAAATAAAAACTGGTAAAAATGCTACAAGCCACTTGGTTTCAGAGTCCAACAATTATTTCCTTGTGAGTTTTTTCCTGTCTCATTAAATATAAACTGTCATGTTTTTTTGATGGAAGACGACCACATTGCTTGTATTTTGTTGCTGGTGTCACTCTCTGCTGTGCAGTGACAATCAAAAGCCTGAGACATGGTCCAGATAGGAGCTAAAACTAGTGGAAACACTGATGCTGTCCCAGTCTGGTTCACTGATCCAGTCTTCAGGCATCAACCCAACGTCCAAGACCTGGGGGTTAGTACGTGACACGGCCAGTCTGACAGGATGGAAGAGTAAAAAGACAGGGTATGAAAATTAATTAAAACCTTTTTGGGATCATTTTCTGATCAATACAAAATGTATATATAAAAAAATTATAAAAAATAACCATTTTTTGTACAGACAAATAAATTAGGTTATAGAAATATAAAATACAGTACAGAGAGAGGGGAAAAAGTCCGTTCCCTTTTAACTCAAACTAGGGTTTTAAATATCAGGTCATAATAAAAATGGTATTTTTTCACGTTCTAAAATTACATCAATCTAACCTCAAGTGTAGAAAAACACAACAGATTCCACCATATCATTATATCTCACATAAAAGGTCAAATTAAAGCACAGCTGAATTAAATGGAACAATGAAAACTACGTCTGCCCCATGATCCAGCAGCTCCTTTAGCAGCAGTAACTTTAAGTACGTAGTTATTTTCTGTAGGACTCCATCAGTCTCTCACAAGGTCATGGAATAATTTTGGCCCACTCTTCTTTACAGCATTGCTTCAGTTCTTTGATGTTTGAAGACATTTGTTTCTGTGAGGCTCTTTTATTTCACACAAAGTCTTGACTTTTGCTGAATCTTTTCAACACCTTGATTCTTTTCATTTTTGCCGATTCTGTTACAGATTAGTAGCCAGGTTTGGTATTGTCCTGTTGCAGAAACTGAGGTTGTGTAAGGTTGTGAAACCCAGAATGCAGGCAGGACACAGAATTAAAAAATAGCTGGTTTTATTAACCAGAACGAGGCAGTCAAAATTACTTACTAAACCTCTGGAAAACACTGGGAGGCACAAGACAACTAAGACAATATCATGTACAATGCTGGAGTACCAGACAAAAGGAGAGATTAGAATATATAGAGATGCTAATGAGCTAAATGACAAACAGCTGACTGAGAGACAAACAGGACTAGGTGAAGACAGAAACACAGAGGAATGACAAAACATAGAAGGGTTCAGAGAAGATAAAACTAAGAAATATGCAGATCTCAATAGGAACCAGTTTAGTCCAAGCTTCAGCTGTCAGACAGATGGCCTCAAATTTGTCTTTAGATAACTGTGGTCTACAGACAGGACCGGCACCCAGTGGCGCAAAAAGTGGGTATGCACTGTATGCAATACATGGGGCGCTGCATTAGAGGGGGTGCCAAAACGGTGTGGGGATTTTTTTTTCTAGTCGGCATTTTCTAATAACAGCTGTTTGTGCATGTATGAAATGATCAATAACAGAAGAAAGGCACTGATTAGGCGCCCATGAAAACCCCTTCAGATTGTTACTTGTATAATGAGCCTCAAAAATATGTAATTTGCGCAAAACAATCTTTATAAATCACATGCGGGTGGAGATGGGAGGTGGCAGGCCGGCGGGCAGCAGCCACGTGCGGGGGTGGAGGGTGCAGGCGTACTGTCGGGGATGTACTAACTTTGATTTTGGAATCCTTTTAATGAAGTTATGCACATGACCTGTAGGTTTCTTAAGGTTTTTTTCTAATGACTTAAATAAGTGAATGATCCGAGATTGAAATTTTTTATAACTCCAGATATGCCGTATATGGAGGATCGATTTGTGAAAATAAGGTCCAAAATGGAATTACATGTCTTGCCAAATCTTGTTGGTACTTTAACTGTTGAAGCCCTAAGTTTATAGACATTGCTTTCAGGCCTTTGGAAGTTTTATCAGCCCAATTCATTTTGATATCACCAAGAAACACAAACTCTTTTGATTTTATGCCTTTTATAATGTCAGTGAGCTGCGCTAAATATTTAGTTGAATTAACACTTGGAGGTTYATAYGTAACAACAACCGTTACTGAAAGGTGATTTGTAAGCTTGATTTCTAATTGCAGAGATTCAGACTCAGTTGACAATTCTATTATAGTGTAAGAAAAATACTTGTTCAATTCGAATGAAGTCAAGATGAAAACAGCATTGTTAAATAAAATGATTTGTGGTAGGAATGAAATCATACAACACCATAATTCTGGAACCTGAGTGAGGTTTATTTGTCACCGGGCTGACAAGGAAAACCACACTGGCCAAAAGCCAGGAAGTACATATTTTTATACATGATTCTTCAATGCCTGAGTTCGCCCCCCACTGACCTACGGCTGAATCACAGGCATTCATCCAATAAACTCAACCTAATGTCATCATAGCGGTTCACTTATGTGTTGTTTATGATTTGGACATGTAACTACTCTATATCAATTAACACATAATAGATTAATAATAGATCAAACATTATAAAAAGGAAATACTAATAATCTAGTTTTATGCTTCTAACATCAGTACTAATCTGTAATAACTATAAATTTCTTCAATAGAATGTGAGTATTTCTTGTGAACATAGACTGCAACACCACCTCCAAGCCTATCAGTACGGTCTCTACGATACAATGAATAATTTTCAACTGAAAGAAACTAATTTGGTATAGCAGGAGTCAGCCATGATTCTGATATAGCCATAACATGTGCTTGTGTCTGAGCAAGTATTACTTTGAATTCATCCAGTTTAGGTACAAGACTTCTCATATTTAAATGACAGATTTTAAAGCCTCTAATTTTATCTAGTTGATTTAGCGTCCCTGGATTTTTTTTAAACAGGAAAATCGCTTTTGCTTTCTTACTGATGWAGTGTTCAGACTTGACATAACAGGAGGTTGTCTAACCTTTTCAGGATATAATATTCCCTGTGTAGACTGTAAGTGAGTTTGGATTTATATAAGATACACCTGTGCACAAACCCAGGTCAAGATAATTATTAATAACATGTATAAAATCCCATAAAATATAAAAAAGTGGACATAAAAACATTTTTATCTGGACCTGGATTAAGTTCAATATTTCCAATGACTAAAAGAATATTAAACAGAAGTCTTAAATGTTGTTTCCGACTGTTTAAAACAGTCTGTTATATCCGTGCCTTTAGCACTGTCTTTTGTCCACTGATGAAAAACAGTAACATAGGCCGAAATTACTATCCGATCAGGTGAGGTTCTGAAGCCGGTCAGTAGCTTGCTGTTCTTTTCTTCGCTGAATGGCGCACACTTCAAGGCTTGAATAACATGGTTCCCACCATGTCAGACACGAGCATGCTCACCAAAACCAGTAGCTCCAGTTTGATCCTCAACCGAAAAACAGGGCACGGCTGATATTGATCCAAATAGGCAACAGGGAAGCTGGCACGCCTCACTTGTTAGATTAGTCGCTCCGTCCCGGCTCCCACCACCACGCGTCCAGGACGGCAAGTCCACCCCAGGCGCTCCGTCCAAACACGAGGGACAATCCGAGGGCCGAGGGACTCCATCCACATCCGCCACTCCACCGAGACATGCCGCAACAGCAGCAAGCCGGAGAAACCAGCCCAACCGGCAAGGTAGATGATAGTTAGGATAACTTATGTTCGATGCTTGTATACACGCCATAGGACGCTTGTGTGCTGTTGTTTTTCGAAAACGATGTCCGTCATTTGCATCTTTGATCTTCCGTTTATGTAGCATACAGAGTAACAACAACACTAAAGCTGAGGTAAATTTGGTCAAAAACAGACCTGCAGATGCCTGTAAAGCCAAATAGGATGTATTTTCCTGCAGCGATACTGCACAGCTACATACATCTGCCGCAACCGCCGCCATCTTGATCATGTGGTCTATTTGAAAATGAGTTTTTGAAAAAATCCGTAAAACATGAAAAAATCCATGAGATTGCTCCATATGTCTGTATGCCTCCAAAATGATGAAAAATCCTTGTAAATTACGGACAATTCATTCAACTTGACACGTATGGGCGACCCTCCCCTTCTTCTCCTCCCCTCCTGTGGCACTTGAGCACGCACCCATTTTGAGAACACGCTCAGGTGTGTTCTTTTTTCTTTTAAAATTGAATCATCGTGCACTTGTCAACATGGAGCTAAAGATGGAGCAGCAGAAAAAAAGCTCTCAGGGVTACAAAATAGAAAACTGAAGAGGGAGAGGGATAAAGATGATGGAGGAATGAAAGACAGCCAGTACCTAAGTTATGTCAGTGTATCAACAGGAGGGTTGTAAATATTCACGTTAGCTTAAGCCTAAAATGACAGGTGGCTGTTGTTGTCCTGCAGCTGTTTGATAAAGCACTGTAAACAGGAGGGTGTCTTTATGACTAATGTCAAGTTCATTTGTGAAATGTTTTTATTTTTACAAAAGGATAATTTTATTAATGTGGGATTCTATGATTTACATATAAAGAATGTTTTCTATTCTTGGTAAACACTTGAAAACCTTGCAAAAAGAATGTTGTTCTACTGAATCACAGCAATTTGATATTCAAGGTGAAATAACAACCATCATTTTTAATTTCTGTGGCTGTTTTTTGTTAAATTATTTTTCAGTCATACTTTTCAGGTTAATAAATATGATTAGAATGAAAATGGACAGATCTAAACAAAAACTGGTTTAAAGCTACAAGCAGGAACAGTGCCACCACACCTCCAGTTTTAGCAAGTCAAGTGTAACCAGGGGCTGTTTCACCAAAGAGAGACAGAAAATACCATCTTTGAATTCATTTATGTTCCATAAAGGATTTTTTTACAGAGCTTTTCATTTTTATTTGCATTTTTTGTGCTAAAAAAGGTTGGAAAAATTGAAAATGTTTATTATTTTTCATAAATATTAGGTAATTTCAAGAGAGGTTCATGTACAGGTGCCTTCAGGCTACTGGAGTTAATGTGTTTTAAACGATTATAATGCAGAGCTGATTAGTTTCTAAGATTTCTATTAAGTATGAGCTAAAGTTTATGCTAACCTGACCACAATTACTCACCATATTCTGGTGACTGATGCACACTTTTACGTCACTGTTTAAATCATTTGTGTGTGTGTGTGTGTGGGGGGGGGGGGGGGGGGG